ACCCCAAAAATTAATATTTTATTATTATTAGTATTTTGTTAATTTATAAAGCGCAAAATCACATATAGTTTCTATGCGCTGTACAATGGTTTTGCTAACATTTAATAACAATATATCAATAAAACCTATAAATTTGTTATGGAAAGTAAATAATCGATAAAACAAAGAAGGACCTTATAAAAAACATGGTAGTAAGATGAAATTGGTTAACGTAGACAAGGCAAAATAAAATGAAAATAAAAACTGATATGTACACAGGAAAGTACTTCTGAAGTTGAGTTTACGAGAGGTTTCACATGGAGTCCTAGATGTTGTGTTGGAATTTTACATTCATAGGTTATATCCACGCTTGAACAAGAGTGTTTTTAGGTTCTTGCGGAATGCTCCATGTGCTTCAAGCTCTCGTAGTTCTAAAGGCAGGTTGTTCCACAGTTGTGAGCCTAATGTGCTTATGGCTCTTGCACCATATTTGTTTGATGATTTCTTTACTATTAGTTTCCACTTGTCAGACGATGATCTTAAAGTCCTTTGTGACTGATAAGTAAGGCATAACTCTCTCATATATGGTGATGCTGAGGTGGAGTGTAGAGACTTGTGCATGGTAGTCAGCACTTTAAACACAACACGTTGTTTTACAGGCAGCCAGTGGAGTTGAAGTACTGGCGTGATATGTTTTCTGTAGCATGTTTTAGTGAGACAACGCACAGCATTGTTTTGAGCCACTTGTAATCGGTGCATGGTTCGATCGGTTATGCCAAGCAGAAGGGCATTGTGATAGTCGAGATAGGATACGACTGTTGCTGAATATTTAATTTGAAATGCAACAAAATGAACCTTGAAAATGAAATTTTTTCATGCAACAAATTTCATTTCATTCATCTCTATAAGATTCAAGGTTTTTGGGAGTCTTAGAAGAGGTCTTATAAAAGTTGACATTTATTCCCTATAAAAGGAAAAAAAATTATTACAGTTTTAGAGAAATAAGGTTTTCTTGAATCCAGGCTTAGATACTTATGATTATTAGCATGATATGGATTAATTACTACATGGTTATTAATGGTTTATTTATCTTAAATTTTGTTCTTGATGAAGAAGAAAAATCAAACTTCGTAAAATTTTTGAGCCGAAGGAATTGTAATATAAAACGCTGATATTCAATAATTTAGAAGTTTCGTTTCAAAAATGGAGAATTTAGCTAATCGTCACAAATCGATATGCAAATTTATATTTTGTTTGTTCTTTTTAACATTCCCCCCCCCCCCCCCGAGAATTTCAACTAATATCGAGAAGCCACCACTTGTCGGTGGAGAGCTGCATTTTTTTTCCTATACTTGACACTTAGGGCTAATAAGCAGTGATCGAGGAATTTTCTTTTTCGTGCCAGGCCTATATACACGTACTTTGTATAGCAACCGCATGCGACAGGGGACCTCTATTCGGTCTCCTCGGAAAGACAGGTCCCTACGTCCCACGGTGATATAAATTCGAATGAGAGTTTCAACCAATGACACTCTCGTGTAAAGGATATCCGATTCTCAGCCAGGAAGGATAAATCCAAAAAATTATATTTAATTTGAAATGCATTAAAATGAAGCTTGAAAATGAAAATTTTTCATGCAATAATTTTCATTTTATTCACCTTTGTAAGATTCAAGGTTTTTGGAGTCTTGGAAAAGGTCTTATAAAAGTTGACATTTGTACTTTATAAAAGGAATTAAAAAAATACATAGTACAGTTTTAGATAAATAAAATTTTCTTGAATCCAACCTTAGATACCAATGTTATCAGCATGATATGACATTAGAAGTGATTTGTGGTGTCTTGCAATGATAGCAAAAGCCTATTACACTATGTATTATAGAATACATGACAGAAATAGAAGAAACAAGAAGTGTTTGTGAAACACTGATGCCCCCGTATGGCAACATACCAAAGAATTTAAATTTTCTTTAATGCAAATTTAGTATATTGGTACCAGAAGTAGGGTATTCTCACTGGAAATACCATTGTGAAAAATGAAAGTAGGCCAAGGTTAATTAAATTTTTTTTCATTTGTACAGAAATCTTCAAGGTCAAGGTCATTGGTATCCAGTGAAAGGTCTTGCCACATGATATACATATGTAAAGTATGGAAACTCTAGCACTTGCCGTTCAGAAGTTATTGCCAAGGTTAAAATCTTAAAAAGTAGGTCAAACTTCAAGGTCAAGATCGAAGGTCTTGGCCTCTTCAAATAAAAGGTCTTGTCACAAGGATCAAATATGAAAAGTATGAAAGAGCCCTAACCCTTTGAAAGGAATGGTCAAGGTTTTTGTCTTAAAAGTAGGTCAGACTCCAAGGTCAAAGGGTCAAAGTTCTTGGTATCCGATGAAGGGTCTTTTCAGAAAGATTACATAAGTGAAGTATGAGATCACTAGCCCTTAGTATTCTAAAGTTTTGGCCAAGGTTAAAGTTTTTTTCATAAGTACAAAATCTCCAAGGTCAAGGTCAAAAGGTCAAAGTTATTGGTATTCAATAAAAGGTCTTGCCACATAGAATATATATGTAAAGTATGGAAGCCCTAGCCCTAACAGTTCAGAAGTTATGGCCAAGATTAATTTTCTTTAAAGGTAGGTCAAAATCTAAGGTCAAGGTTAAGGGTAAAAAGTATTGCTATCAAATGAAAGGCTTTGTCACAAGGATTAAAAATGTAAATATGAAAGCATTATCCATAAACCTTAAAAGTTAAGGTCAAGGGTTGCTTTTTAAAAGTAAATCAAACTCCAAGGTCAATGTCAAAGGGTCAAAGTTCTTGGTATCCAATAAAGAGTTTTTTTACAAGAATTACATATGTAAAGTATGAAAGCCCTATCCCTTACAGTTAAAAAGTTATGGCCAAGGTTAAAGTTTTTTCACAAGTTTGAAAAACTCAAAGGTCAAGGTCAAAATGTCAAGGTTGTTGGTATCCAATGAAAGGTCTTGTAACAAAGAATACATATCTTAACTATAATTGTTCTGGTTACTTTTGTTTGAAAAATATGGCCAAAGTAAAAGTTTGATTTTTGTGTTTAAGTAGGTCAAACTCCAATGTCAAGGTCAAAAGGTCAAATTTGGTGGTACCCAAAGAAAGGTCTTGTCACAAGAAATACACATTTGAAATATGAAAAACATAGATCCACTAAATCGAAAGTTATTGGCAAGGTTAAAGTTTTTGCGGACAAACATACAAACAGAGAGACAGACAGAGAAACAGACAGATAGACAGACAGACGGACGCGACAAAAACTATATACCCCCGAAACTTCGTTTACGGGGGCATAAAAATGCCAAATAAGTATGAAAATCATGACGATTTCTCTGAATGCCTGGATACCTCGTTTTCAACCTAAAATATATTTGCTGATCAATTTGCAATTAGAAAATGCATGGCTGATATTCCAATTCGCTTTTTCTGCAAAAAATATTGGAGATTTGACAATTTTCCCTATATAATATGATTAAATTTTAATCTATTAACTTTAAAGAAATATTGTGGATATATTTACATAATTTTGTGGATTCAGAGATACTTTTATGGGTATTTTTGATTACTAATTTTATATACCTGAGGATCGGACTACCTTAATCTCTGTATAAAAAACTATGTTATAGCCCAAATACTTACTATTCAAAAGTCATGATGACTTTTAAAGTTATTTGATTATGGGTTAACATTTAAGGTCTAGGATAAAAGGTCAAATTTCGCGCTGCCCAAAGAAACTTCTTGTCACGGGGAATTATGAATTGCGAAAACCCTATCACTAACTATTCAAAAGTTATGGCTTAGGTTAAAGTATGTTAATGTTTTGTTAAAGTTGGCCAAATTCTAAGGCCAAGAGGTCAAACTTTGTAGTACCAAAAGAAAGGTCTTGTCACAAGGTATAAACCTTTAAAATATGAAAGCCATAGCCCCAGCCAATCAAAAGTTATATGCAAGGTTAAAGTATTTTCTGCAAACAGACGACCGGACAGGACAAGAACTAATACGATTTTGGGGGCAGAAAAAGAAAGGGTTGTATAACAAGTGCGCTCTTTTTACGTATAAGGTGAAATAAAATATTTAATAAAACAGCTTAAGACAAAGGTGATACATCACCGATAACATGTAATAATAAATATTAGAATACATGAAGAGGAAAAAGGTTTCAATCCCTGATTTAATAAAATAAAATATGGGAGAAGAGGGTCCATACTCCAAGATTTAAATTAATTATTTAAAGAGGAAATGAAACTAAAACTTTTTTTCTTTTTACGAATAATTTTGATTTGCAATTCTTTTCATTTAAGAAATGTGTTTTGAATTTGTTATAGACAAAATGAACCAATGCCTGAGACTTCTGGTGATTTACTTCAGAAACCATGGCAGGAAATGGATTTAGATTGGAGTGAAAAGGTAAAATAGTATATTATTTTGGTTTTTTTTTTTCTTCTTAAATTTTGATATTCAAAAGTGCAGTTGTACCCTGTAAGCGGGTAATGTAAATGCTTTTATTTGGTGCGTTCATGCAAGTTTACTCTAAAGTTATTAACAAGATGCTTGAATTATTTTTCATTTACAATATCCAAGTAGTTTTTGAAGATCTAGATCTTTATCACCTGCATATAGGGTTTATGTCTCTCAGTTCATTCAATACACAAGAGTATGCTTTACCAATTTATAAAGCGAGTAAACTATTGTCAAACATGTTGATGAAGCAAAGTTAATGACAGCAACCACATCTATGAGGTAGAATGCTGACTGACGTTTTCAGGCCATTATTTACAAACTAAATTGTCTACGGATTAATTAACTTCGCTGGTAGGTGTACCAGTAGACAGGGGAAGTTTGCTCCTTCATGGCAACTGTTCCTTTCTTTGATGTTTTAGAGGTTCGTGTTCGCTCTTCTTTTTGTAATGTTCGAATCGACTTAAGTTTTGAGATTGACTAGTGTCCGATATCTTCATTTGCCATCTGCGTAGAGACCGGTCCTTCAGATGAGACCGTATAAAACGAGGTCCCGGGTCGCAGTATGTGTTGGCATGAAAAAGATCCCCCCTACTCAACGGCCCTAAGTGCCAAGCATAGGACAACACTTGCAGCCCTCCACCGGCTGCTGGCGTCTCCATATGAGTAAAAATTCTCGAGAGGGACGTTTAACAATATACAATCAATCAATTATATGCCATTTGCTATATACATGTAAATGACGACTAAATCATAGCATATTATAGTGTACGTCAAATACATTGATATGACGGTAATTTAAACTCTTTCTTTCCTGGTCAGTGGAAATAATTAATAATTCAATTTTAGTTGTAACACGTCATTTGATTGGTTAAACGGTTTTATCCATTTTGTATAACATAACTTGCCTACGTCACAATGAGCTACATCAAAAACATGTTACTCCGCTTGACGTTAAGTTTGAAAATATGCGATATTTGAAGCCTTTTTCCGAAGGAAAAAATGGAAAAATTGTCTCATTGTCTACATTTAAATTAAATTATAAGGAATGAAGCTTATAACAATTTATGTTATACGATATAACATAACTTGGGGCAGTTTACGCTTTTTATAAAGCGTAAACTGCCCCAAGTTATGTTATATCGTATGACAAAAGTTGAAATAAGCTTCATTCCTTAAATATCAATCAGATCCTATTGTATTTTTTGCATTGAAACACCTTGGTAAGTTTAATTTAACTTTATTCGTCTAATGAACTAGAAAAACGAGATACGATTCAAATAAGGAACACAGACAGCGAATAGCTGCACTTGCAAAAATTTATTCTTGAAACATTTTTTCTGAATTTGTTTAATAAATAGCTTTTCTTTTTTAGTCTTTCGATGGCCTTTTGAAGGAAATAGAAGAATATACACCTCTGGCTGATTTTGAAGATAACTCAGAGATTTCACACGTCAACATCTTATTATTAGGACGAATTTCGTCAGGAAAATCCAGCTTCTTCAACACCATAGATTCTGTAATCAAAGGGAGACTATCTCTAAGGTCACGTGCCGGATGTGCTAGTTCTAGTTTGACAAAATCAGTTAAGTACCATCATTTATATAAATCTTAAAATTCATTTCAAGCTATATATGGCGTATCTGGGCTGAAAAAATAAATTACAAGAGGCCCATGGGCCTTATAGGTCACCTGAGCATTATGCAACAACATTCCAGTGATTGAATTTGATTCATGTTTTAAGCCAGATCCTATGGCATTCACAGTTTTGAAAGAGGCACCATTGATGATCATAACTATACACTGAGCAGTTGCTTAGTTTGGTAACATAATAACCATAGGCAGGGTAGGGGAACGAAAAATGCATTTCAACTGATTAGTAATATTTAGCAATAATCAGTAGTGCCCCTACCACTGACTCTTAGGCCTAGATCCACAAATTGCAAAATTTTTTAAAAAGGCATCCTTGCTTTTCAAAAATATTTGGATTGATATCAAGGAGCAGATTTCAAACTATTCATTCATTTTCAGTATATAAGTACAGTCCCCCCCCCCCCCCCAATGGTACCCCTGACCCTGGGGCCTTGAATTTCACAATGCTGGAAGATTACGGCCCTTGCTCCTCATAACTATATAAGTAGTTCGTCTGCTTAATTCCAGGAGCAGAGAAGAAACTTTCAAATATTTAATGTGTTTTCACTATATAAACAATAAAGCCCCACCCTAACACCAGAACCCCTGATCCTGGGGCCATAAAATTCACAATTTTGGAATACACATTATTGCTAATCATACCTATGTACTTAGTTTATTTAATACCTAGGGGCAGAGAAGAAGATTTTCAAAGAAATAATGCATTTTCACTATACAATCAATAGAGCCCCGCCTTAACACCAAAACCCCTGACCCTGGGGCCATAAAATTCACAATTTTGGAAGTGACATTCTTGCTCACCATAACTGTGTACTTAGTTTGTTTATTTATTACCTAAGAACAGAGAAAAAGATTTTCAAAGAATTCATGTATTTTCACTATATAATCAATAGAGCCCCGCCCTAACACCAGAACCCCTGACCCTGGAGCCATAAAATTCACAACTTTGGTAGAGACACTCTTGCTCATCATAACTGTGTACTTTAGTTAATTCATTTAATACTTAAGAGCAGAGAAGAAGATTTTCAAAGAATTCATATATTTTCATTATATAATCAATAGAGCCCCATCCTAACACCAGAACCCCCGACCCTGGGGCCATAAAATTCAGAATTTTGGTTGAGACACTCTTGCTCATCATAACTGTGTACTTTAGTTAATTTATTTAAAACCTAAGAGCAGAGAAGAAGATTTTCAAAGAATTCATGTATTTTCACTATATAAACAATAGAGCCCCGTCCTAACACCAGAACCCCTGACCCTGGGCCCATAAAATTCACAGTTTTGAAAGTGGCTTTCTTGCTCATCATAACTATGTACTTAGTAAGATTATTTAATAGCTAAGAGCAGAGAAGAATATTTTCAAAGAATTCATGTATTTTCACTATATAATCAATAGAGCCCCGCCCTAACACCAGAACCCCTGACCCTGGGGTCATGAAATTCACAATTTTTGTAGAGGCACTCTTGATCATCATAACTATGCACTTAGTTAGTATCTAATACCTAAGAGCAGAGAAAAAGATTTTCAAAGAATTCATGTATTTTCACTATATAATCAATAGAGCCCCACCCTAACACCAGAACCCCCGACCCTGGGGCCATAAAATTCAAAATTTTGGTAGAGGCACTCTTGCTCATCAGAACTATGTACTTAGTTGGTTTATTAAATACCCAGAAGCAGAGAAGATTTTCAAAGAAATAATGCATTTTAACTAAATACTTATTTAGCCCCGCCCTATCACTAGAACTATGAAAGCCGGATAGACTCATTTCTGATAAGATAAAAAAATATTTAACTCGTTATAACGAGTTAATTATCTCGTTATAACGACTTAGTTATCTCGTTATAACGAGTTAGTATCTCGTTATTACGAGATAATTATCGCGTTATAACGAGTTAATTATCTCGTTATAACGACTTAGTTTTATCTCGTTATTACGAATTACTTATCTCGTTATAACGAGTTAGTTTTCTCTTTATAACAAGTTAATTATCTCGTTATAACGACTTAGTTATCTCGTTATAACGAATTAGTTATCTCGTTATAACGATTTACTTATCTCGTTATAACGATTTAGTTATCTCGTTATAACGAATTAGTTATCTCGTAATAACGAGTTAATTATATCGTTATAACGAGTTAGTTATCTCGTTATAACGAGTTAGTTATCTCGTTATAACGACTTAGTTATCTCGATATAACGAGTTAGTTATCTCGTTATAACGAGTTAATTATCTCGTTATAACGAATTAATTATCTCGTTATAACGAGTTAGTTATCTCATTATAACGAGTTAATTGTCTCGTTATAACGAATTAATTATCTCGTTATAACGAGTTAATCAACTCGTAATAAAGAGTTAATTAACTCGTTATAACGAGTTAATTAACTCGATATAACGAATTAGTTATGAATTAAAAATGGCTGTAGTTTTAATGCCATTGATGTTTAGATGATAATTATCAGTCATACTTCACTTCAATATTGATAAAAAGTTGCAATTTTAATTTGCGATATGGTTTAAAAGACACTAATTTTTCTGATATGTTTTGGATGACTTATTAGCTTTCATAACCAATGTCTTAGTACCTAAATTAATACATTATAATAGGAAGCTAACGCAGGCGTTAATGCAACATATATTATATACACTTACAGTGTGATATATATTATTTTGAGAGTCAGAAATGTTTGAAGAAGGGGGATATGGAGACATCAGCAATGAGGCCATGGGCGTAAAATTCGGGGGCTAGTGACCACTCATAACACAACATCAAGAGGCAGTCATAAGTTTCCGTATACATGTACATGTATTTGTCTCCGGTCTTTTAAGTATACAATACACATCAACTGCATCGTTTATACATAAACAGAATACAATCACAGGCACAACCCCTCGAAAAAAAAAAACTAGTTTGCTGTTTTTCAATAAAAATCTTTATCATACACACTACAGTAAAATTTGTCTAATCCGGACTCTGAGTACTCCGGATTTTTGTCCATTCCGTCTATAAATTTTAGTCCCATGTACTTCTTTAACAAATTCATTAGAAAAAATTCTGTGTAATCCGGATACTGTCTATTCTGTATTCCGAACGGCCACACTGGTCCCAATTGCTCATAATTAACGGTAATTATTTCCCTTAATCCGGCCACACCTGAGTTACTTCTAAGCAATTAACACCTTTCGTGGTGGATGTGCTAATCTGTGTTTACATTAGCATAGTGCCATAAGACGAACTCATTGAAATGCGGCGGTGATACAGCCCGCTTGAAAAAAATATTATAATATTAAATTACAATTTAAAAGAAAAATTACCCTGTTTTAACTCATTTTACCACATTATAACATAAATACAAAATATAATATGTACCCGATTTACAAATCAAAATATAAATCGGGATCGAAAATCGAACGCATTTCAAAATGGCGCCATTACAGTGTGGGGGAGACGAAATTTTTTACAAAAAAATTAAAAGTTCACATCGTAAATAATTGTGCATTACTGGTTATACATAGAATGTGCTCTTTGACAAGGGAAACCCGGTCCGCTTGATATATAGTAGGCCTATAAAACGCGTGTCTGTAGATTTTGATTTAGGTAACATTTCACCAGACTTTCAAACCTCGTGAACAAACAAGAAAATACAGTAAGTCATGCGAGACTATTTTATAATTTCTAGACTCCAAAATATTGATTGATTTTATAATTTAATTATACTTTATATTATGTATATGATGTACTTGTAAATAAACATTGAAATTTCAAAATTAATATTTTTCTGCATTTTTCCTGCACTCCGGATTCTGTCTAAACCGGCCAAATTTTATGGAACCGGCGGTAGCCGGTTTGGACAAATTATACTGTATAAACAAACTTAACAAACTCGGTTTTATATGCTATACTACTATACTTCCTATCACTTAGATATATCAACTTTAGATCAGTTTTATACGGAAACGTATAACCGCCTCGTGTTGTTGTTTTAGAACGCGATATTATGATATAAAAATGTTGTCAAATACAATTGCTTCAATGTTTGGCGATATAAATATGACAACAATCTGTGACGAATAATACTTTTCTAATTTGATTTAGACGACTTATACACTTTGATATATCCAAGTTGAATTCCTAAATGTCGCACATAAAATAATGTGGAAAAATTAAGCCGATAAAATTAAATATTGCAGAACTTAGTGCAATATTACATATATGAAAACTTCGCGTAGACGACTAGATTTAATCAAAGAGGAAATTCAGCAAAATGCGAACGACTTGTAACATCAGATTTATTAATATATATCACAGTTTGCACTGAATAGTGGACAAGTATTACCAAATATGATGACTGTCCTTTGAAGCAACAATCATAAGATTTATTATTTAGGGAAGAGCCTGCAAGATATCCTATATTATTTGAATTATTCAGACATCAATTCAGTAAAATACGTTATATTTGGGATGGAATTCATTTGCTCCTTGTATGGTCTTCATCTTAAATGTAAAAAGACTTGAACTTGAACTTTTAAATAATTATTTGTAAAATTAGATGTAAAAAGAGCAAGAGCCACTTTGGGCCTTATTTGGCCCTGAGAATTTCTGAAAAATCAAAACCGCTCAGTTTAGGTTGCAAATGCAGTATTTATCACTTGGAGTGTTGATTACCACGTATCTATTAATCAAGAAGTAAATTCCCATCTAGTCAATGCATTATGACGTCATAAAATACGTACGTCATTTTCCTCATGTCCTGTAAATTCCTTTGAAAATGACCTGAAAATGAAGCATTTTTTCAATATTTCATATAGAGCACAACCTCTGATCTAAAATATGCAAATACATAATGAAAGCTCTGTTTCTGAAGATCAAAAAACATCTTTATTTTTTGGATCCAGGGCTGTGCTCATATTTTAATTCTTTGCTGAAGGTAGTTAAATACGCATGTTTTCAGCAAATTTCAAGAACATTGCAATTTCTCAAACCTGTTTTCCAATTATCTAGATTCTCAAAATGAAATTTTATTATAGAAAATGAAAGCACTAAGTGTCTACTTTATTTTGATATATGAAATGGAATAGAGGGTGATAGTTAATTAATTGATATAAGTACAGGGCCATTTTATGCATAAGGTGGCTCTTGCTCTTTTCAGTCTCTTTCTTATGATAATCAATTTTATTGGTGCATGACTAATTAAGACCCTGACATCCTTAGATCACTGGCTAGATTCCTTGGTTATCTACCTTAATTGAGGATATTTTGTAATGCATATATGTACTTTTTACCAGTTTCTTGTCGTTGACTATAATATTGCTATAACATATATACAATACATCCCAGATGTATGTATTTTCAGTATATCTCTTATATACTAGTACATTTTTATCAATTGCTCTCATTATATGTATATGGATCCTCCTTCTTTTGTTTGTAAATCTTTTTAGCTCCTCAAAGGGTCCAAATTGGACTAATAAAATCTTGCATCTTGTATAAATCTGATATTGTAAGTCGTTCAAATTTTGTTGAATTTTTCTCTTTGATTAAATTGAGTCGTCTAAACGAAGTCTTCATATATGATATATTGTACTAATGTCTGCGATATCTAATTTTAGCGGCATAATGTTTACGCATTATTTTATGTGCGGCATTTAGGAATTCAACTTGGATATATCAAAGTGTATAAGTCGTCTAAAACATATCAAAAAAGTATTATTCATCAGAGATTGTTGTCATAATTATATCGCCAAACCTTGAAGTAATTGTATTTGACAACATTTTTATATCATAATATCGCGTTGTAAAACAACAACACGAGATGGTTATACGTTTCCGTAGTTTTAACTCGTTATAACGAGAAAAATTAACTCGTTATAACGAGTTAATTTTCTCGTTATAACAAGATAACTAACTCGTTATAACGAGATAAGTAACTCGTTATAACGAGATAAGTAACTCGTTATAACGAGATAAGTAACTCGTTATAACGAGATAAGTAACTCGTTATAACGGGATAACTAACTCGTTATAACGAGATAATTAACTCGTTATAACGAGATAATTAACTCGTTATAACGAGATAACTAATTTGTTATAACGAGATAACTAAGTCGTTATAACGAGATAACTAAGTCGTTATAACGAGATACTAACTCGTTATAACGAGATAATTAACTCGTTATAACGAGTTAAATTTTTTTTATCTTCTCAGAAATGAGCCTATCCGGCTTTCGTACTAGAACCCCTGACCCCAGGGCTATGAATTTCACAATTTTGGTAGAGGACTCAATGCTGATTACAATCATGTAAACAGTTTGACTGGTTGATGTCAAGGAGTAAAGAAGAAGATTTTTAAAGATTGATTAATTTTAGTGGTTTTGGGGGGCAGGGATCATGAAATTCATAATTTTTGTTCCCCTTCACCCATAGATGCATTGTGCCAAATTTGGTTGAAATTGGTTCGGTGGTTGCAGAGAAGAAGCTGAAAATGTTCAAATGTTAACGCACGACGCACAGCGCACGACGACGGACGAAAATGGATAGCAATAGGCCACCTGAGTTTATTCAGGTGACCTAAAAATACGAGATTATGTGTAGATTTACATGATATATATTATTTTTGTTCAATTGAAAATTTTCATCGATTTTGAACTTAAACATCTTCACGTTTCTAAAGTAAAGCCTATTTATTTTTTGTCACAAAAAATACAAAATAATACAATAACAAAAAAAAAACTGATCGTTTACCAAGGGAGAAAAACACTTTTAACGGGTTATTTGGCTCAAATCTGTACTTAGATTGGAAGCTATTAAAGGTACTTGGACACAGATTTGAAGTTAATTTTTTCTCTATAATATTACGACTTATATATTTTAATAATATTTCTCACAAAAATAAATTAAAAATCTTATTTCATTTATAAGTTATTAAAATTTTTAATTTTTTGGCGGGTTTGATTGACACGTCCTTGCACTTTCACAAATTTGAACTTTATCCTTGTTGTGTATTAATGAAAAATATTTATACTATAATCTATAAAATTCAGAGTAGACATGTTCGAAAGCAAAACAAACATACAATATATTGTCAGTTTGTGCAGTTGTGGTGAGCAGACTTTGGCGTTTAAACGCACCCGGTGAATCGTAAACATTAAACAATAACAGCCTCTTGCCTTGTTTACAAAAACTATGTGTACATAACACGAGTGTGCTCGATTTGCTAAACTCTGTACACAACGGAATGACGATACTTGTAAAAGAGTGTTGCTTTCTAACATTTCTACTCTGAATAAAATTATTTTTCTGGATTTTAGTGCAAGGATGTGTCAATCAAACCCACCAAAAAATTAAAAGTTTTAATATCTTTTTAATGAATTAAGATTTTTAATTTATTTTTGTGTGAAATGCTATTAAAATATATAATTTCGTGATATTATACAGAAAAAATTAACTTCAAATCTGTGTCAAAGTACCTTTAAAAGCTAACATAACTGTAGTTTGTATGGAAATCATATTTATTTGATGTATTTGTAAACTTTAGTCTTACTATTAATTTACATAACATTTTAAGTCAGTTAGTAGTGGCCAGTTACTAGTGACTAACCTCTAAAGGTAAATATATGGGGAGCGGTGTTAACCGATAACTCTTGTTTAGTAAAACTTTGTTACTATCGACGGAAAAAAGCAACAATTTTTGGAAAAGACTTAACTTATATTGTTGAAAATGACAAAACTATTTTAGAAATATGTATAAATAGCGGAATTTATACGTTGGCACTTGCATAATGATATTTTGCATGATTTGCTATTTATTGATTTATCGAATTTTTGTTTAATTTTTGGCTAATTTTAGCTTGATGTTTACAAAGTAAAAAGAAAAGGAAACTCAAAGTCTTTTAACTTTAGAATGATTGATTGTCGTGGTTTAGAGGAGGACCAAAGTCTTAACTCTCGCGATGTCGAGGCAATTCTGGATGGTCACGTGATGGATGGATATGTGGTTTGTATACGTATCTAAACAAACCATTAATTTTATGTTTATTTACAAACAAATTGGTCGGGTTAAGATACATTTGTTTCATACCCGTTGTGTGCATTAATGCTTTCAAACACATATATATTTATATAGAAGAGCATTATATATAAATAAAATAATAAGTATAGAATATAATACATATGATATACAATATAATTCTTCTTTTTATTTAGTTTAATCAAAGTACGCCTATTACTAAAGACAGTGCTGAGTTTAGGAAAGATCCTACCTTAGCTGACCGTGTACACTGTGTCATCTTTGTGGTTGATGGTTCGAATCCACCCGAAATAACAATGTCCCAAAATGTTGAAAAACAAGTGAAAGAACTCCAAGAAATGATGAATACTCGAAGTACGTTATGTTTTCATATACTAGTAGTTTTTAAGCAACGGTGGGGCTTGACTGTACTTGAATTTTTTCTCTCATTTCATTGTGTTTAAACAACATATCATACGTTCGTTACTGAATTTTTGAAAGAAATTTTTTATTTCTTTAAGAAATTCCACAATTGATCCTCCTAACCAAAGTCGATACGATGGCAACGGTCAAAGAAGACCTATCTAAAGTATTTCACAGCAAAAGCGTCTTGGAGATGAGGGACAAAGTCGCCATGTCGTTTGGGTTGCCTCCCTATACCGTTCTACCGATGCAAAATATCGCAAACTCTCCAAATGTCTCGAAAGAGATTAAAATACTGACTTTATACAATCTGCGTCAGATACTCCGAGCTGCAGATGATTTTCTCGAAAATCACGAAGAAGAGTTATCAAGAGATAAATATAAAGGAGCTCAGACTAATTCTTATTAGAATATAAAAGACAAATTTCCTCCAAAAGACAAAAAAGATAGGAATATTTTGACCACAAGAAAGCCTTAATGGGTCAAAATTGGTGTTTCATTGTTGCTATGCTATAATTTACCTTGTAGATTGATCGGATTTTTTTAAAACAATTTATATCTTTAAAAATATATATGAAAAAAAGCATCTGAACTGGATATATAAATTTGCATCTTGTTTTTGTATAATTTATCTCATACGTGTTGGTGATACAGGCTGTTGGATAAATTTATGCTTTATCAACTGGTAGATGCTTTATCAATAGCACTTCCGGTTTTGACACGATCCCTCCCTTCAAAATTTAATTTGAAACTTTTATTTGTGATCCCTATTATTGCCTTAATAAAATGAATGATAAAGAGCGATAATATCGTTAAAAGCCAGAAAAAGACTCGTATATGTCAAAGAAGTGTCTTTTTCATCAAGGAACCTATTGGCTACTCGAAGACAGATCTATCATGTTAACGTACACCCCCCCCCCTCCTTTTAAATCGTTTTCGGAGAAAGTAAAGCCTAGCAGTTAAGTTGTTGTTATAAGATTCCTTTAACATCTTCAATAATGCTTTCTTATATTATACTACGTATGTCTACCTAGTAATGTAGGTGTAACTTACCATGGATCAACAATGAATCTACAAGTAGGCCCCTAGCCTTGCATAACACGTTTTGTACTGCCATCGTCCAATGAGTTCATTTTCACGATCCATGGTCTTTACAACTTTCAGTCAGAAGTTCGTTTGATGTTAAGCTCCAGCAATTGTCACATAATGTTTTGAAAGACGCAGATAGCAAAAATTCAAAATTTTGAACGCGATCTACTTTCTTTCGAGGGACGTCAACATAAACGGTGCTACGTCATCAAGTTATACGTCATCAATTTGAATTAGCAATCATTCATATAGTTTTGCAGGGGAAGTCTCAAAGTTTTGTTAAAACGAAAGTAGTATGAGATAAATAGAACATCTATAATTGTGTGATTTGATATTGGCTTTATCCAACTCGTTGAAATGGTGTATATTCGCTCGGCAAGCCTCGCGAATATATACACCATTTCAACTCGTTGGATAAAGCCAATATCAAATCACACAATATAGATATCCTCTTATATCTAATAGTTTGATTGCAACTGTTTTGTAGAAATTAACCTGGATTTATTTTAGATCACGCAAGAGCTTGTCATTCTACTTATAATGTCATATTAACCTTCCGAGGATAAAAAAGTTTTAATACAAACCACTTCATGAACAAAAAATGTTTAAAGATTATACAGTAAATAAACAAAAAGAATTCACTGAATAAACACCGTAGTGTTTTTTAAACTTGAATATTTCATTTTTTTTTTATATGTAAAAAGTAAAAACGTTCAATTTTTTAACGCTGTAGACATGTTTATTCTCTGCAAAAGATAAAATCACTTAAACATGTTTACAGCAGTTTTTTTTTTATTTCAAAGTATTTTAACCAAAAGAAAGTACTTAATTTAAAAGTTTTAAATTGTATATTCAAATTTCCATATTAATTGGACCAATAGCAACTGTTTTAAAATTGGAGGAGGGGGCTCCCCAAACAATCTGTTAGTAAAAGGTCATGTATGGACCTTTCTTTAGCTTTTTGCTATTTCTTTTCAATTGCTGGAATTTGCCTATCTTTGACTTGACGTGGTATCTTTTATTTTAAGCTCACTGGGATATATCGAGTCGACATGAATGGAAGTAACTAATGTAAATTGACAATACGTCGTCAATATATCCCAATGCCGAGTTGAAGGTTGTTTTTTTTTTTAAATATAATAAACAGATATTTTATTTTACCTTTTTATAAGTATTTTTTCTAATGATAAAGATACAAATTATGACACAAAATGACATGATTCTTTTCGTATGTATTGCTGTTGCTTACAAGCTGAAGGTAAATGTAAATGTCGTAAAATAAAATAAAATTTTAGAAAAATGTCTTTTTTCTGATTAACATTTCTATAATAAGGCTTTCTCCCCGATTAAGGGAGCTGGGTCGTTGTGGCCATTTTAGACTATTATAATGATCGTATCATAGATATACGAAAATGACCAAATTTAAAACTAAAATGTATGAATTTTTTCTCTGCCAAATGATTGTTGACAGCCTAAAATACATTATCATAATACTAAGTTATATATCCTATGATTAATTTGTTGAACCACCCCCCCCCCAACCCCCCAGCCTCCTTATGAGTTCAGACAAAGTATCAAGTTTTCCTCGTTTTGTACTGTAGCAGGAAGGAAGCAATTCGTTCGATACCCATCATGTTCATGTCACATTCATAAATTCCTCTCTGCGATAGGAAAGCAAAATCTATAATAGTACCAAGATGATTGAAATCTGTTCCAGTGAGAATTTTGTCACTTGATTGACTTGGTAGGGCATGGGCCTCTTTATGATGGAACACCAAAAGCGCAACGTCCTTAAGGTGTTCCCACCCTCACAATTTTATAGGTTCAAAGTACAAAAACTTGCTTTATTTTCATTTAATATACTTTAAACTTTCCAATTATTGCAAAAAATGTATAGGTCACCATATTATTTAAGATGTGAAACATAAATAAACAGAAGTGTATGTCAACACAAAAAATCGCACATTTTTTGTTAACAGTATTATGAAAAATATGTAAAAACTGGTTAAAATGCATAATTCTGATGCTGAGTGTTCCTAAATACTTCCTACTTAAAAGATACTTTTGAATTGTGAATATCAGGGAAACTATTTTACAATAAAGCAAATGCCTAAATGAAGAGACCTTAGAAGGAGTTATTGCCCTTGTCAACATTTTTAAAAATTGAATAATTGATTAAATAAAGAAAATATGCATTTTTTAAATTCTTTAACTTAACAATATTTATAATTACACCTATTGTAAAGCATTCATCCAAGAGATATTGTTCTATTAGGTATGAATTTAAACTAATTACAGTTTTTGAAAAAACCTGTGACATCATAGGATGGTGGAATTACCTTAAAGTTACTGGCTGTGAAAAAAAGGAAAAGTACATATGACAATAAATTACATGTACTTTAATCATATACAACATTTTCTTTTCATATCATTTTCCACTTTTGATTTTTGTTCTCAAAGGTGACATATTAAAGAAAAATATGAAATTCATATAAAATAAGTCACCACAATTTAATATAGATTAGAGACAAGCATGTACACGTTAATATAATGATAATGACAAAAGTTTCCAGATTCAGCAAGAAAATGCATGTATCTACACTAAATACCCAGGTATTATATATGCATAATAAATAGCATTGAAAGTAATCCTTTTTCAGAATTTATACCACCAAAAATAACTATAAGTGTCATTAATGGCTGAATACATTGTGTTTCATATGTTTCACTTTGAATGTGCAAAAAGTTTAAGATAAGTTCATCAGTTCGATGTATCTATTACTAAGATAAATAATGTACAATTATTAACATTAATGTTGAAACTGGGTGGAATCTCACCCATCAATGACATTTAGCGTGTTTGTGCTTTTTTTGTTACATGTAAAGATATATGAAAATTGTTTTTGTGGTCTTTTTTTTTATTTCAGATTCTTACTGCAGTTTTGACAGCATTTGATAATAACCTAAACTTGTAAAGCTACATACTTTTTGGTATTCCCTTTCGTTTTAGGTCTATGCTTAATAGTAGTTTTACCAGATATTGGTATATTTACTAGATAAGATTAACAAATTTAGAATTGATGAGTAAATTTCACTAGGTATCTAAGTATCTATACGACCCCCGCTCCAGAACTCACTATCTTAACCAGTAAACTGAAAGTTTACTAATCACGACCAACGCTTTACGAAACACACTAGTTAAATTCACTAGGTTTTTCTTTCAGTGAAATCAAAACACCTTAAAAACAATAAGCTCTGTCAATCAGCTGATTTAGAAATGCAGCATCATAAATTTTCGATCTGGACTTCCAGTTGTCTACACCTATCTATAAATATTCAATAGAAACATTATAAAATTCTATAAGATTGGATACTTTATAGATAACAAGTTTTGCAACACTTTAGTTAGGCGAGAACTGAGAATGAGAGACTCGTATTTCTCACTTGAAGAAGAAATGACAGCTTACCCTTTGTGTGACTTAATTCTCGTTCTTTCTCAAGAAGGGATGACTTGTGTTTACGAATCAACGATTTTCTAACGTGTATTTTATGTCTTTTGTAAACAGAAATTCAATAAATTTGACATTTTCTTAATTACAAGTTGTTTCTCGAAATTAAGGATTAATTGTACATTTAATACCATTCATTGTTAATCTTTCTATTAAAATAAAATACTTACCGGCGATGAGTTTGTTTAAATTCCGTATTTATCTTTCTTCAAGAAAAGTGTTCGTATAAAATGATTATTTAAAAAATTATTATTACGTGAAGTGTTTTCTAATTCTTCTTGTATCTTTTTCAATCTTCCAATTTTAAAATAAATCAGTTAAACAGTAGTTCAGAGGTAAAATTAAAGGTCTATTTATACTGTTCATCCTAATTATTTAATTCCTACCTCTTACTTTTGAAAGGAAATTGAGTAAGACAGACGTACATAGTATACTACATACATGTAATGGACACGTAATTCCAAACTGCTGCGTTATAACATTACATAAAACATTCGACTAATGCTAGTACTACGCAACAGACATTGTAGTAAAATTTATAGATATTTCAAGTTTTACTAGTACATTTCTCTTTATCCGTCGCGTCATGTTTGTATAATTACATCCACTGAATATTTTCTCCTTTATTTCTTAAGAAAACCCATTGCGTTAATCACTGCATGAACAACATTAGGCATGTCGCCTGTACAGATTTCTTGATGAATGGCTGTTCCATCAATGAAACATGTAAAGACGTTCGCATCATTAGTACAATAATTAATCTTTTTTAATCCTACTTTAAATGATTAATTAGACAGATATAAATATAAACAATAAAATGTCTTTCTTTGTTTGTTATTACTGGAATTAACGGTCGCAGCTATTGCAGAAAAAATTTACATAACCGGCTTACGCGGGTTATGTATTTTTTCTGCAACAGCTACTTCCGTTAATTCCAGTAATAACAAAGAAAGCATTTTATTGTTTTAATGATAGTTTCCGTAACTCTTCAACCTTTGCATTTCGACACTTCTCTTCTTTTTCCTTACAGTTTATTATTTGCTGTAATTTTGTCGTTTTGTCATCCATATCCTTTCTTGTTTCATTTAAGGTTTTGATTTTATCATCCTTTTCTGCAATAACGTCTTTAAGTTTTCCTATATTCTCACTGTATTCTAACTTTTCACTGAAAATTGCAATTTCACCATCCTTTTCTGAAATAGCCAGATTAGCTATTTTGGCAACGTTCTTTTTCATCCTCCTTTTTAAGAAGTTTACAATGGTTGTTTAATGAAGCTCTCTCGTCTTCAAGTTGTGCTATATATTCTTTTGATCTATTTCACAAGAAACATTTCTTAACAGTCCGTAACATTTTTTTCTGTTAAGTTTTTGTCCGTTTCTTTCAAATATGGAGGTGGGTTATAAACATCACCAGATCCCTTTTCCTCAGCGGAACCGACTCCACACTTGGGGCATTCGTTCTAGCTGACCTCAGTTTTCAGTTCTTTCAAAATATCCTTTCAATTTAAATCATATATCCTTTCCTTTGTAACAATTTCTTTCAAAATACCTTTACATGTGTATCGATACATTTTCAAAGTTTTAAAAATTCAATACAATGAAATGAAATTAAAAATAACTTCCATTTCCGACAGACGTTTAAGGTTTTAAATAAGAGAACATGACCGACAGAGAAAATGAATATTTAATTCGGATACCGACACAGAATTTTACCTGTATTTTCTCTATCATCAAGAATGATGCCTTTTCGCCAGTGAACAGTGGCACATGTTTATGAGATATTCCTACAAAAAATCCAAGTGTAGTACAATGCCATCTTCTAGCGATATATAAACATATTTAATTCAAATCCGATGTACAAAGCTATCTATGGTTCCTGAAGATTAAAAAATTAACAAAATTCAAACAATGAATCAAAAGCATAATACATACCCGTACCTACCTTTTTTAAACAAATTACTAAACATTGTATCATGTAAACATTTTTTTTTACAACGTTTTATCCAAAAGAGGACTATGATTGCACTGTATTAATCATAAAGTGTAAATGATACATATTTCGCTCACGAAATTCCAACGAAATCTGTAATTTCGTTCAGTGATTTATGACCATTTTTCCATCTAGTCCTGCGGTTGTTTGAGCGAGTGTCTGTCGTTGTTTTCAGGATTGGCTTGAGTAAAATCCTTCCGAGTTCGAAACCTGCGCACAAAAGAGAAACTTTTGCATTTGAAAAAAATACATCAGAAATAATTTCCCAATTTCATAGAAAATGCTAAAAGAGTGGTTGGAGTAAAATCTTTCAAATCCTATTGCTTTACAAAAATTACCTGTGAACGAGAAACTGTTTTTTGCTAATTCCAAAACATAAGAATATATATCCGGATCATGTTTCACAATACAAAACTTGAAGCATCTTGGTGTAATCGATAAATGGCATCGTCAAATCCCCCGATTCTGAAGGTCTTTTTTTTCAAAATTAATATCAATTCTCTGTAATTATCAAACAATGTCAATAATGCTTGGCCACGCTACATTTTCAATTTCTATGAAACTTTTTGTGTGTACTCACATTGTCACATCATTAATGGTTTTATATTTTTTTATTTCAAAAAATGTCTCGTTGCCATGGTAACGGCACCTATTGTTTCCCCTGTAAATTCTTCCTAAAATTTGACCAAAAAACGTGATTTTGTAGGTTTTACTGAATAAAAATGAGCTTAAATGAAACAAGAGAATGGGAAAATCTACTTTTGTTTCAAAACTACCATTATTCCTCTCTAGTATAACAGCATAATTTTTTTTAAAATGTAATTCTACATAATGGCTTAACAACGCTTAGCTTTGGGGATTTTGGCATTTTGCCAAATTGAGAAAATTACCATTTTAGACCCTTTTTCAAAGCGATTTTTTAATACTTTGCACACTGATTTGAAATTCAGGAAACAGTGCATTGTATAGATGG